AATTCTTTGAGAATCCTTACTCGAAAGAATTTCTTCAAGGAATACTTTTACTGTACACCAAGATCTTTTCTGCAACTTTTCTGAACAAATATAAGGTGTAGCTTTATAGTGAAACTAGGACACAATGAGATGAGGGGCAGGGTAGGAGCGAGAGAAGACGATAATTAAAAAAGTCACTGTCCTCAAATTTAAATTTGTTATAATATCACTCACTCAGAAATTTTAAGAAAACCTTTTTACAAATAATGTCTGTTTTATGAGTATAGCAATGCACTATTAAAAATGGCTTAAACTGTATTTTCATCGAGTGTATCGTCGTGATAGATCTCATCACGGAGACACAATGTCCGATATTGCGAAAGACTGACGAGAAGCCCCAGTACCGATTACTCGTTTCATTGCTAATCCGATTTCGAGCTACCTCCAGACCGAAAACTCCTTAACGCTACTCCGTTGGTTTCTCTCAATAATCTCGTTACCCCCATTAGACAGACTTAGGAACCTCGCGTCGTTCGCACGTAGAAAACGTCACCTGAACAAGAAAATTGTAGCCATAATAATTCTACGAATAGATTGTATTGTCCTAAATAATTTAGTCCATACATGATCCGAGTCTATCATTAGACTGTTTTGAAGGGTACAATCAAAGAATGTAACCTCGAAAAATGCTTACAAGGCCATTCAAAACTCGTCGCGAGCGCCGCAGTCAGTGGGTACAACCCTTTCCGAGTCAGACGGGTCGAGCCGTCCGCCGACTCCTCCGCGCGACAACCTCCGGTGGCGGTGGTGTGAGTGTGGGGTGGGTTAGGTGGAGGTGCGCCTCGCAGGGGACAAAACTCACCCTAAGAAGCTTCTAAGAACGCCAAGGCGGCGGTGACGCTCTGGTGGGGAATAAAAGTACCCGCATGCGCAAACTCCTGAAAAACTGCGGCCCGCCTCCGGCGCCGCCTCTATCGTCTCCGACATCCCTCCGACCCCCCGCGAACCCCTGACCCATCGAGGGCCCCGAGATCTCTTCGCCACCCTCCCCCTCCCCTCCTCCCTGCACACCCCCCTTTCGCCCCTCGTAAGACATCGTCCCGGAACGACTCGCGGCCTTTTTCGAGAATTGCCCCCCGGGTAACATGTGCTAACCGTGTGTGATTACCTTCGCTCTACAACGCGGGCGCACCCGCGCTATCCGCATCCTCCCCTCCCCCTCCGTTAGGTCGCCACGCTATCATCGCTTTATCGTCCTGTCGTCGATCTGCCCGTTTTTTTGCGCCCGCGAAAATCAAAGTGTCGCTGCAGCGGGAAAGATCGTGTGACTAACTGGCCGGTAAACGGGCGCACGTTGCGTCGAGAATCGCCAGGAAGTGATCCTGGCTGTACTCATTACGTAGTTCTTCGCGAGGGAGCCTGTCAGTGACCGTGGTTAAACATCAGTGTCGTGGGGATACTCAGGCAAAAAGAAGAAATTTTTTTGTGTGCGTGAGAAACATGTTTCAATGCTTGACATACTTTTCATGCCAACGATGTCAATCCAATCCATAAATTGTATATCTGACAATTTTTAATAATTTTTAAACCGTGGAATTGTAAACTAAAAATGAAGGTAATTTTGGAAAACACGTCGAATGTAAATTTGAATTATTGTTAAAATATCACGCTTAAATTGTTCTTCGAGACATTAACATCTTTTTTTTAATTCGACGGTCATTCGTCGAAATCGTCTCGCGAATTTTGGTTAAACCGATTATCTATTAACGTAACTTTTTACATGGTAACTTTTTTTTTTAACAATGCATAAGCTCCAATTATTCCTTGCTAGGCAACACGTCATCGACAAATCCTGCCGATCTAATTGGTCGCCAGCAGATAATTGTTCGGCATCGATAATTGGTCCAATTAATTTGAACGGAAAAGTGCGTCGATAATCGTCGTGCATTCATCGATTCACCGATTATGTGAACCGTGTCGTATGCGGGTTATAGAATATCGTTACCGTAGAAAGGACATCGGCGAAAAAAATAGCCGAAACGCAAACAGAAACCAATCGTTTTGGCTGCGCGTGGTAGTGAAGTTATTGAGTTTTTATTTTGTTGCTGTTCACATCGTATGATTACAATGCTCGTCAACAGATATTGGAAGACTATTAGATTTTAAGCGCATATATAAAATAAAATAAATATAATAACATAAATATTTTTTTTTGTATAAAGACGTAATAGTTTATAAAAATTTCGCTATCATCGAGGATACGGAAGATATTAAATAATCTAATATTTTTAACAGTTCTCTTTTTTAAATAAACAGCAAAAAGCCATATTTTTTAAAAGCAATTTAATACTAGAGCATGTACATAATAATTCCTTTTTTTTATAAAACGGAGATTCAGATTATGTACAAAACCTACAATACACTTGATATCGCACGTTAAGTTCGTTCTTCTAACACTATTTGTCTGCCAACGGTTAAATTGCCCTAGAGTTTTCTTGGCATGCCAATCGCATTCTCTCTCACTACATTCTCACCCTAACTCGTTTCTTCTACGAAATAAAAATTTAAAAATGTTATGCATGTTCGAAACATTTTTTTTATATTCTCGAATTATTTCTTCTCACTATTTTCTAACATCTCTTTTAATTTGTCAGTAAAACACATGTAAAGATGCGACATTAAAATTCTTTAATCTTATACTTGAAAACGATATGGTATTAAATTACATATAATAAATTCAATGTTTTTTTCAATGTTTCATATTGTATTTTTTTTGGAAAACTTTGTGTTATGTATAGTTATTTAAAAAAAAAATTTATATCTAAATACGCGAAAAATTGCTGTTCATTTATTTGTAAAACTAAAATATTTAAAAAAATCTTGTATTGTTATTAATACTATTCTCAGGAAGAATAAAATACAAACGCTAAAGTCCGGAATACTGGCGGATGTAATTGAAAGCAGGAGACATCATTGCACGGTGAAAGAACGTACGCATGACGAAATGCATCTCGGAAGGTCTGCATTTAGGGACGCGGAGGCGTCGCATTGTTCCTCGCGTAGGGGCGCGGGATTATATAGGGGGCTCGTCTCGTTTAGGGGTTCTCGGCTTGGTACAGATACGTCATGATCGATAGTCTCGTGTTGTCTCTCGAAAGAGTGACGTGTTACAATTCTCGCGTCGCGTTCCATTTTATTCCGGTAATCTACAATCCGTCCCTCAAATTCCGTTAACCGCCTCTTATACAACGAAAAATTGCTTTCATAATACTAGATCAGTGATTGATGATGAAAGTAAACGTACGATCTTCGTTAAATAATTAATAACAATGAAAGAATGTGTATAAAAAAATGTATAATTTAAATTTTCGCAAAGGCAAATCGTTTTGCATCGTGTTTATATCTTTGCCATAACGAGTCTACTATATTATGTTACGTACAAAGTTTATATGATAAGAGATATGTTTTGCAATAACTCGTTGCCATATTTCTTTATTTGGTCCGCTGAATCCGGGGATGACTACTTGTGCGTAACAACGTGTTCCTCGATCTCTTTCTCTCACCCTCTGGCTGGCGTTCGTCTTCGTTTCGACTTCGTTCTTGGCCCATACTCTCCGGGAACCCCCAAGCGTCGCGCAACCCCCGTATTCCTCCGGTGCTAAACGCAACTACACAAGGGGCCTTTCTGCAGTCTTTGTTTTCCCTTTCTTCCCAGTGTCGTTTCGCAGTCTCGCGCGGGGTGGTCGTTGAACGACGGAAGCAGGAAGAAATCAACCGAGAAGGGCAAAAAGCCGGCCGACAGACGAGAGATCGCGCGGGAGAGCCGTCGAAAGTATTTTCTATTTCTGACAAATGGATCCTCAAATATGCAAAATTAAATCCTTATTTGATATTTGATATTGAAAACTGCGTAATCAAATCGCTGTAACGAAACAGATTGAAAAGAAAGAAGCTATCTTTTTCTTCGCGAAAATTGTAACATTGATATCTGGTAAAAAATTTTATTAATTTGACCATCATGTGTAAATAAGTGATCGGACCTAATTTGTGAATAATATAAACCGTTTAAATATATAGTGATATTAAAAGTGAAACATCATGGTGTTCAAAGTGTAGTTAGAAATGCCTTCATAAATACCAGGAAAAATTATCACAATAAAGAATTCGTGATACGTTTCACACAGCGCACGTACGAGAAAAATATTTTTTTTTCGAGTGTTATTGCTGTTGAATGGCAAAGCGAAATAATTTGCTACGTAGCGCTATCGTGCACCGTGTTCCTGTATTCTATACAAGACGTTGGCTCTATCCGTGCGCAACGTGTAGATGACTCACGACTGTGTATGATTAAAATCATCGACTGGAGTGTCAATCTCGCACCGCAATCATGCGGCGTGGTGATACGCGGCGTCGAGATTCATCTCCGGAAGTCCATCTCCCCCTGAATATCCCGCGGGTCCCCCGTCGTTCGGTGGAACGGCGACGGAGCCGGGAAGACAGCGCGAGGTTTGTGTAGTTCGCGAGTCGTCATCGGCGGGAGAGTATTCGTCAGGAACGCGGCCGGCGGTCCTGCGGGAGGTTGTGCGCGCGGCGGCGAAGGGACAAAGAGAGAAAAAGGGTGCCGGAGCACCCGGGGTGCGAGAGAGAGAGGCAGCGAGATTTTTCCCCACCGCTTGGAAAAACCAACCCCCCACCAGCCGGGTACCGTGAGGGCAGGCGGCGGTGGCGGCGGTGTGGAAGAGACGCGCGGCGGGCTGCGGGGGCGACGAAAAGAGGGGGCGAGGAGGGTTACCCAGGGTGGTCTCGGTGGTGGCTGGGGGCGGCAGCCTCAAAAATACACCGCAACCACACCGCGCGGCTCCACCGCAGAAGCCGCCATCTTCCACCGCCGAACCGAAACGAGACCGCGCGAGTTAAACACCCTATCCTACTTCCTCCGAGTAGAAGCTGCCCTGCCACCCGCCGAAGCAACGGCCAGGTGAAGAATCACCATCGCCGCGACGGCGACTGACTCTGAGCGGCGAGGGACACTCGTGGATATCGTCCTGCGATCCTGCGAAGCGGAAAAATTTCGGATTGGTGACGGTGTGCGCGAATGAATGTATATCGCGGATCGTGATTGTCGCCGCGATTGTTGCAAGTTGAAATCCCAACGTCAGTGTCCACGAATTTTAGATTCGTTATTTGATATACATATATACAGATAATGCGTTTTCGTGATTGATCAAGATTTCGATCGACGAGAGAGAGATACACGTGACGTGCGCGGCCCTCGCCAAAGTTCGGCGAAACTTCGCGCGGTGAGCGCCACGTACGGAAACATATGGTTTGATTTGAAACAGCTTTTCGGCATATATTTCGATACAATTTCAGTGAAAATACAGAGGGAAAAAAGGTGTGTGAGCATGACGTCATCAATTATGAAGACGGTGTGAAACAGTGTTTTAGACGCGCGCGATAAAAAAAAAATGCATCTCGATAAATCTGCTTCTCCGAAACTCTGACTTTCGACTCTCGATCGGATTTAAGTGTTTCGAAACGATCGGGAAGTGCTCCTTGCGATAAGAAGACGGCGGGCAGAAGGCTCGATCAAAGAATCGAGAGAATACGTAGAAACAAGGGTCGCCAAGATTGCCGACGATTCCAATAAAACGAATTTTCTCCGCGAGTTGGCAATCGAGACGAGGAAGAATTTGCAAACGGATGCCCCATGCCTCCGCCCCGCAGGCAGGATAATGAAATAAGGATCAAAGAAACCTAGGGCCCTCCGCGAGGGCCGAGCGAAGCCGCCGAAAAGTCGCGCGCGTGTCTGTCGATTCCGAAGAAAACAAATCCAATTCTCGCCGGAAGAGGATATCGGCGTGCATCCGTAATGCGTTCCCCGCTACTGGTGAGACCAACTTGTAACTGTTATCGAGTGGACTGTTATCGAGTGGACTGTTATCGAGTACACTGACCGATCTCGCACGTCGAACATAACAATCAATTCTAACGGCGGAACCTCCGTTTGGCGGAGTTAAAGGGTTGTTATTTACTTAATAAAGTATATCACAAACACACAGACGTATCATCAAAAGGACCAAGCATCATATCGAAATTGATCGTAAGGCTCGATCTTCTTCGTACGGAAACACGTGTACAAGATACTTTGTCTAGAATTCGGAAAAGCAAGATAAACAATTGAGCAGCCAAATCCATTCGGAAAACTCGCAGGGAAAGGTGCGATCTCGATCGAAACAGCCAATGATATCGTTCTCATGACGAATCCTTCGCGTGATGCACGACCCGAGGATCGGCCTCCTGGTCTAGATTATCCCGACCCGAGATCAGTGCGTGGCAGTCATCAGGCGCATCAAGCAGTGAGCCAAATCGGCGGGCCCAGAATCCGGAGGACCCGGGCCTCGTCCTCGAGGAGAAGAATGCACCTGGCCAACGAGGTACCTCCTCAAGGTTCAGCCGGCGGAAATCATCTCTCCGATTATGCACTCACCGCCGATTTGCTCGCCGAGAGAACATTAGACGGGCTTCTCGCCGAGCATCCCGGAGAACTTATTCGTACAGGTAAAATTTATTTAAATATTTAAAATTAACGTTTATAATATAAAAGTACTGAATAATATGAAAGCAGTTTTACATGTATATATAAAAAAATGTAATATATAAAAGTAATTTCACTATACATGATTATTTCTTATTCGTTGTCATATTCTTATCGTGATATAGTGTAAAATTAAGAGAAATAAAAATAAAAATTTTATTTTAGAAAATTATATAAAAAGTATTTTTTTTGTAAATAACAAAATAAATAAATTTTGTAAGTCTCGGAAAATGATCTTCTAACATATGTATGAAACATAGTCCGATAATGCTGTATAATTGATTAATAGATTTAATAAAAACAAATTTGTTAATTTAGATAAAGAATGTAGCTCTTTTATGTTAACATAAGGTTGCCCGCATGTGGTCTGCACGGTATTGCCGTCACACTGGAGGTCGAACAAGACTCTTCCGGTAGCCTTCAAGGTAGTAGCTCTCGGCGAGGTCGGAGATGGTACCCTCGTGACCGTTCGGGCCGGAAACGACGAGAATTGTTGCGCGGAACTGCGAAATTCTACTGCTCTAATGAAAAACCAGGTCGCCAAATTCAATGATCTAAGGTTCGTCGGTCGAAGTGGTCGAGGTAAGTTCTACAAGTTACGCTTCCTTGTATAATATCGTAACAACTGTTAAGGTAAACCCTAACGTACACAATTACAATTTTCCTTTAAATATTGATGTGATGAAACTCTGAAAAATATATTTTCCCTTTTCTCGGTACCTTCGGTACATTTGCTTCGCACAAAAATAACTCTCATTGATTGACGTCGGAAACTCGATCAGTTTTCCGCTGGTTCGCCTTCTCTTCCAATGCGGCGTCTTAAATCATTCAGACCTCGCTACATTAAGGTGGTGCCCCGACTGATGGCCTCGTTTTTCCGACGTCGAAAGCCAAGCACGAGGCCACCACCTGGCCCTCGTTCCATCCTCATTTTTAATTCACGCGACAAATATCGTGACCCGGTATCTCCTCTCGCGACTGCCGCCCACTCCACGCCACGCCACGCCACGCCACGCCACGCCACGCCACGGGGGTAAGCGAGGGCGCACGCGGAGATTTTTTAATTCCCGGCTCCGCGTTTCAATAATTCAACGTTTCTTTCGTCCGAGAAAGCGGAACGCGGCAGGAGCGACGAGGGGAGAAAAAATTGGGGTCCGAGGTCTCTGAATAATGCTCCCTAATAATCGCAGCCATTACGGACGGTTAATGCAAACGTTCGCTCCTTGAAGAGGAGAGCCGAAGTAGCGCGAGAGGCGAGGGAGGGAAGAAGCGGCATGAGAGAACCTAGATCGCGCAGCAGGGAAAGGAGCAAACTTTTCAACATCCTTTTTTTTCTTCCTCCCTCGTCTCTCCCATTCCCACGTATATAGGAGAGACTCGAGGTAGGGAATCGGAAGATACGAATAACGAGGCGTCCTTTAATTCCTTTAATTCGACCGAGTTGCACCATCGTTCTCCTCGCGTCCGCCTTCTCTCCCGTCGCTCTCCCTTTTCCCGTCTTTTTCCGACGACGTCGGAACTTTCAAGAGAGCAGTCACAGGCGGTACTACCCGGTTAACGAGGGGGTGGTCGACTTGTTTATGGCAAATTGGAAAAGGAAATTGCGGGGTTTGCGATATCGACGGGTGCCGCGCTACTTTTGTCCGACGGTAGACCCTAAACGGCGCTCTTCATCCCTCCCATCGGCTTATTTCGGCGGTTTATTTTTTCAGGGGTGCACGATCATAAATTATCATTACAATTCGTTGCCGCGTTTTTCTTTCCGAGCGTCAACCCACTTACGTGCAAATATCATCCAAACGGCGCGTTATAGGATACCGTTTCGTCGCATTTCCACATTGGCCTCTTCCACTCCAAAAATGGAGAGATCCAAGATACTCGTTACAGAACAATGGAGACCCGGGAAAAACGGTTACCAGAATTTTTTAGCGGGACTCGCGAATGAAGATATCGCGGATATATAGGAAATTGTGGGATGGGACGAGCGAAGCGCGCGAGAGCGAGAGAGGGACGGAGTGCGAGCGGGGAGGGTAGAGTGGTTGGCTGTAAGCGGCTTTGGTTTCCATGGCAGTAAGCCCTCATTACTGTATTACGGGCAGCCCCTAACTACCGCCGGTATGCAACGATTTGCCTCTAGATTCCCTATATGAGAGTGATGCAAGATCGTTCCGCGCGGCGTATCACGATCAGCGCGATTTTTCCTTCCACACGTCTCACGCCAGCCCGAATTGCCCGGCCGTTAAATCTGAATCTTGTTCATCGCGATGCGTTTACAAGCATATCGGTTGGATGCGAAATTATGCGCGCGTGCGGCAGACGCGACGAGAGGGGAGAAAATTTGGGAAAAAAGGGGGACGGGAATTAAGCGCAGTGCGTAAAGAACTAACGCTGTAGGAGAGAGGTGAACGTTATTATCCTGCGAAAGAAAGGGCAAACAGATCCCGTTGAATAAATCGAAAATTTATGATGTTTGTTAGCGAGTCACGTCGCGCATATCGCTGCATAATACCGCAACGAGGCGAGGAGTGCCCCGGAGTGCATTTTATATACAGATTCCTCACGCGTTCCACTCGCTTTTTTGCCTCCGTTGTTTTACACGCATCCCGTGCTCGCGCGCGCTACACGACTTTTTCGGCTGCAAATATTTGTCTCATGCTCGCCCCGCGGGCTTTGTCAGGCCAATTTAATATTGCGAATGCGGACGAAGAGAATTGATCGTGGTCGAAATGCGTGACGACGTTGATGGCAGGGGTGACGGCCGAAATCCGCGCGGTGCGAAGAAAACGAAGAATAAACGCTTATCTGCTTTGCATAATTCTTGTGTTGGTGCGTATAAAATTGACAGACATATCCGCCGAAAAGCAGATTAGTTAAAATTTAAATTTTTTTAAACTCTCCACTTGTACGTAACAGCTCTTCAAACCTCGAAAATATTTCTAGATACTCGTTTTGCAGATAAAAATAATAATCTACGTGAAGATAACGGACGATAATAGAAAACATATCGCGTTTTTTTTTACGAAATATAATTTGTCCGGCTTCTGGCGCGGACGCTAGTTGATTGTTTCCCCGAGAAATCTTCATTTTGTCACGGATAAACACGGATGAGGTCGAATGTGAGAAAAACTTGGACGCGTCGAGCCGGCGAGGAGGTTTTTTTTCCCTCTCCCCCGATTCGCTCCGACCCTTTTTAATCGACTATAATCGCTTTCATTCGGTCTTACGCGCTGACCCAAAAGAGGGACCTCTTCCAGCGCGATGTGTGTGCGGCTAACGCAGTGTAACGACTACGGTCAGGGGTTACGGGGGTGACGGCGGAATATTATCATACCGGCGCAGGGGCGTATATCACTCGGCCACCCCTTTCGCTCCCGACAGGGATTAGCGTCAACCTCCGACTGCTAGGAGTCACGGGCCGTACGGAGACGCGGCTATATATATACGTGTTTCTCTGCGAGATGCATTGGTGTTGGGTGCCGCGCGGATGAGAGAGCGGAGAGCGCGCGGCGCGGCGCGGCGCGACGGGAGAGGGTGGCGACGGGCGTAAAAACGACGGGCATAAATACCGGAGTTACCTGTGTTTTATGACGGTCCGGCCGAGGTATAGGCAGGAAGAGAGCGCGAGAATCCGAGGGAAAGCTCCCGACTATCGACAGCCAGATCCTGACCGATGTCCTGGCGCAATGGATCCCCGTCTCGCCCGTAGAGCCGCCTCCGCTCTCTGCTTTTCTCTTTCTCTCTTTTTCTCCCTTCTCAGTGGAAGGAGGTCTCGTTTTAGATCGCCGCCGCATGGCAAGCGTTTGCAACGTACAGCCCGAGTCTGCCGTTGACGCGAACGCATAGATCCGAATCTTCGATATCTCCTTTATGATTCGAAAGAAAAACGCGTGGTTCGAATATCGACGCTTCGGTCATTAATATCACACTGTATTGTGTGCCTCTAAATAAGCTATACGCGTGCAGAGATATTTCTTGTCAAATAAAATGAAATATTCTCGGCTGTGATTAAAAAATGATAAGGAACAATTCTTATTACACAGCACAAAATTCCTTCAAGATTACGTAACTGCGAAAATTTATTTGTAGAGGCTGCCGCGAAGAGTTTCGTAAGAGACGAAAATGATTTAATAAGTCGTAAAGGTCCGTCGTCGTTGAGAAGGGTCGACGTTCGTTTTCATCGACCTTTTAAAATAGCGAGTTTCTGTTCGGTCGACCGAACAGCTGTTGCAATCACTTGCCCCTGCATCGGGGTAATACTTTGCTTTGAAGCGTGTCCAATTCACGAAAAAGTTCCCCTCGATTTGCTAATCTCCCGAATTATAACGAGCCACAGACACTTCATTAGTGACGTTCATTTAAAAAAAAAATCTGCTGAGTAACGAATGAAAAAGCGTCTATTTTCAAAAAATAAAAATTAATACAGTTAAACAATTATGATTTCATTTAGATTTCCACAGGATTTACTTCAAGCTCTAACAAGCACCAACGTTTCAAAATAAATCGAGTTTTGAGATACGAAAATTAATTTCCAGCGACAACAAAACACGAACAATTCTCTCGAGAAGAAATGTAACTTCCAGCGTTAGAAGATATTAGCGTTTACGAGAACCCGAACACGCCAGTTAAATCCGCGAGAGCGGTTGGCGAAATCTCGCCGGCGACCACCTCGCGGCGACGTTTTTTGCCAATTAAAAATTAAAAAATCCATCCCTCGGTTACAAGTAAGGGATCGCAAAAGGGACTGGACTGTGCGCTGTGCGGGGGGCGCGCGCGGGAGAGGAGTCGAGGAACGCACGGTCCTATGGCGGATGACTGCGCCGAGATTTTCTACCGATTAAACATTATTTTCCGCTCTGGTCTGTAGTATGAGTCGCGTACGTACGTACATATCCGTTTCTTTCACATATATTAATTCCACGTTTCCCTACTTTATTTTCTCGATATTTTTCGCTCCTCATTCCGTCGCGCCAACAGCAAGGCAGGCTTTTGCAAACGCTTCAATGACCGCTCGCCCAGTCGCGCCGTCGCATCTGGAAAGTCGTTATGCTCGACGTTGCGATTATTGAGAACTGATCCTCACGGAAATTTATTCTGCAGCAAGAATCCGGCGAAATCATCACCAGAAAAATGATGAAGACAAATTATCAATACTTGTAATCAAGTTTTAATTGGCTTCTAATATTCGTTTAAGATTTCGAACGCGTGCGCGTGTTAGATAAAGATAAAAAAGAATTTCGAGACAATCACCAAACATATGCTTCTCCGATGACGTTTTCTTCTTGTCAATCATTAATTTATTCCTAATATCGTCAAAAAGTCGATAAAGATACAAATGATTAATAAATGATAATAAATTTTTAATAGGTTCCCAATGTTCGTGTAAGATTTCGTACGTGCAAGATTTCGGTGGACGTGTGAAATAAAGATAAAAAAGAATTGTTCTTTCAAACATGTCACGGCGATGCACGCTCAGCCTCGTTTATTCATGATTCGGGTAGTCAAAACGTCAGAATCTTAAAACACGACAAACACTCCGAAATAACGATCCGAGCAACCCTCGCACTCGCACTCGCCTCGCCGGCAAACAGGGGAGTTTTTAACACTGCATGATCCCTGAGTAAACTTAGGGCGGACTCGGCATTCTCGTGTCTTCTCGTACGAATCTTCGTCGCGCATAAGTGGACGCGAGCCAACCTTGCCCGAATTAATTTCTCTCGGCCAATTCGTTTTGGGGCTAAATCGCCGTCGCGAGAACACTCGAGACCACATTTTGCATTCTTGCAATGCAAAAGCTTAAAATTGGTAAACATCTCGGTTACAATCAATCATCTTCTTGGTGAAAATTACATAACCCGGATCTTTCTTTTCGATACAACTTGAAATTAAAAATCTGGATTTGAGAAATGCTAATACATGATATCGCCGCGCGAAAATAGCGAGCTCTTCGATAATCTTCCGAAAAAGTCCAGTACGACGAAAAACTCTACAGCCCACTCGGACATCATAATCTTTATGGATCCTCTCAATCGCGTCTGCGACCAGGCAATATTTTGTTGGATAAAAGTGACGTACGATGCGTGTGCGTGGATTAGCAATTTTTTCAAACTTGTTTGTGAGTACAAAGGATGCTGTCGTAGGATGAGCGAAATCATCCGGTGTGCGTAAAGAAGCGCTTAAAACAAGGAAGCATCACTACTGAAAAAAGTTGCGCAACGTTTCCCGGGTCTCATAAATCGCGCGGTAAATCAATTTTGTTGTAATCGGATCACTGCAAAATCTCGAAGAACTGGGAAAGCCCGGCTTTTCACGTGCAATTTACCATCGCTCGTATTGAATCTCATTCGTATACAACGACCGATGAATTAGAATCTCGCTAGACGTAGACAAGTCGGGGGGAAGAGGAGGAGAGGGGTAGGCTGTAGAGATCCCCGAAGGGTAGATCGTTCTTCCAGCGAGTTACACATAATGCCTCATAAACACCCTCAAAATGCCTGCCATCACCCCTGATTCGCATTGCCGCCGCCCTCTCGCGCCTCTGACACCACGTTGGCAGTAAACTTCGGTCTCGTTAACTCTCAGCCGCGAAATATCACTGGCGAAATCTTTCATATCCATCGTGAGACGTGAGGATTCGAAATATCGTTTGCACATTAGAAGCATGTATTATTTGAATACGTATGACAAATCACTTATTACGTAGGAAATTTATCTTTTTGAGAGAAGCAGCAAGAAAAAAAAATCGAGATTACCTATATCTCGAGATGAAACGAAATACGATGCAGAAGATGTAAAATCAGTCCTGATGGGACATTTGGATGGACATCGTGAAACATGCAGCGTGGCGCGAAAATAACGGCCAATCACCGTGCGACGCGAAAGGGAGCGCGCTGGAAATGGCACGGCTCCCTTGGCGAAGTTAAAGTCCGGTATTTTGCCCGGCGACGGGCGGTAAGCCGGTTAAATGTCGTGGTTCACCGTAAAAACGCGGTCGTTTACCAGGGGGGAGAGGGGGAGGGCCCGGCTGAGCGCCACCATAAAATAAAACTACCCGACCACGCGCGTGTACATACCGGCCGCACTTGGCGACGCCATTATAAGTTGTATAACTTTATTGTCGCGCGGAGCGCGCGGAAAAGCGCGTAAATGTCTCGCTTTCGCTCCTGCACATATCTCGCCGCGGTTATTATTTTCTTCGTTCGGTATTTGCGATGCGACACGACGCGACGCGACGCGATGCGACGAGATGGCTGGCCGCCCCCGCGCGTTTTATTTCGCGTACGCGCGATTACCGGGGACCGAGTTCGATGCGTCGAACGCGTGACGAATTCCGTGCGACGCGCGCGTCATCGATTGAAATATTTGTGCCGAAAACATCGAAATTTAGTAAACGGCCCGGCCAGTTACGAGTCGCGCTTCATCTGCGCGTTTGCCAATATTGTTCCAGGTCATCGACGGACTTGGAGAACGAAAAACGCTAACGTGCGAAAAAACATATTTATCGTGCGTATTTTATATTACAATATATTTATAAAAATTAGAAACTGTACTTCGATACATTGTAGCAACCAGTACAAAAATATAATCACGATAAGGTATATTATAAAAAAATTAATAAATAAATATATGTGATATGTTTTCAAAAATTATTGAATTAATTAAAGTAACAAATACGAAATTCACAAGAAAGTACAATTAATTATACAGTAAATTGTAAATATATTTTGTTAAAAGCAATATTTCAAGATGTTGTCTCGGGCAAATTATTGTCTCAAAATTTCGAGGGAAATGATATCTCATTTATCGGACTACCGAATGCTGTTGAAAGATAAAACAACGAAATCGCGCGTAATACGGGAGCTGCGTATTTATAGGGGGGAAGAGGGTGGTCGCGTTTAGCGCCGGCAACATTAACATATTCCAGCCTATACGCGAACAAACATCGACGCAGTGGCGTCACTCGTTCACCCCTTACTTCCGGCACATTTGTGTTTTGTTTCCAGCGAGCGCGCACCGCGCGTTTCGCGTTTGCCCGTTTCGCTCGTGCATGCCGTCGAGCATATCCTTCGCGATAGCAACGGGGATCAAATCCGTTCGCCAAGAAATTTCAAATCCAATCGATCGCGATAGCTGGCAACCATATTCGCGGCGTCAATTCGATTAACGCGTAAAGTGGCAGTCACCATTGCGTAAACGCTTGTGAAGCGTACTCGTTTCACTTCGACACGCAAACGTACTCGCGGTATAGAATATTTGGTTAGATAACGCAAAACGTAAATCGCGAAAGTGAATGCAATTCATGAGAGTGTACGTGTACTGAGAATATTTCTTTTCGCGGTCGGCGAATTGGATATGAATAATAGAGTCCGCGCGAACCAAGGAGCGCGGGATCCAAGCGTGTCTTTATGGTTTTTGATCTGGCAACGGAGCCAAAGCACGATACGCTATATCGTCCCACTGGGAGAAACTCGTCTCGCCGCGTTTTACCGCCAGGAGATAATTTCTTCCCCACCTCCCGACGTCTACATGCGCGTTTTCGTTTTCAGGAAAAAGCTTCACGCTGACGATCATGCTGCAGACGTCGCCGCCGCAAGTGGCCACCCTCTCGAAGGCGATCAAGGTGACCGTGGACGGTCCGAGGGAGCCGCGATCGAAGACAAGTGAGTACGACTTTACCTACCGAAGATAATAGCTTTTATTAAAGTCACCCGTGCCCGCGAAAAAAGTTAATCGAGACTCCTAATTAACGAGGCCAATCGGCGAATGTATTATTCGGATGCGCGGCCGTCGCGAATTGTCGCGAATTTGCCATCGAATCGCGACGGCCGCGGCGACACACAATTCATGAATTCATCCCACGTTGCAGGACACCAGGCCTTTCATCCCTTTCACTTCGGACCTCGTCCATTCCCCTTCGGACACCCGCAGGACCCGTTGGGATTCAAACTGTCGGGTAAGTCGATGCTCTCTAATCAAAGACACACGCGCGCCAGCCTCCCGTAGTCTTCGTCGCGACGAATTTGTGCGCCTGGGTACCTGGGTTCCGGTGAGGCTCACCTTCAGCCTCTCGGCACGTCTCCCCGTCGATAGATAACTAAGTTTGCAACCCCCGTTTGCCGTGCCCCTCCCGTGAGAGGAGAGCGAACTGCGGCAACTTCGGCGGGCCAGGGTCGACGCCCTCTTCGCGCGCGCCTGGCTTCGTGGCTGCGAAGGGTGTCAAAATTGAGCGTCGGCAGGCACCGACTCAAAATTGAGTTTTGCCACCGGCCTCTAAGTGAAGAAGACTCTGATTAAGCCCCGGGCGCGAACTCTGCCTTTTCGTTTCGGAGGAAGCCGCTCGGTTCCCGGTTCACGGCGAAGTAGCGAATAAACTTTGGCTCTCCGTTAACTTTGCCATCGAGTGGCTTACGGGCGCGGTAAAATACCTCTCCAACTTAAACGATCAAGTTGAATCAGTTTTTTTTATTTTTTACTTCTGACATCGCAATTTTACGATATTTGCAGTACTATTTGTAAAAAAATTTTGTGATAAATGCAAAAAATTTCGTTAAATAAATCACGAAAATTTCGCCCGGGATTGCTTTTGGGCGTTGTAATCAATCAGCCTTTTTCTTTCGGGACGATAATGCGTTCGCTGTAATATAAACGATGGTTTAAACGATTTCACCGTCGCCAACGTTTTCGAAAAAGTTTTCAGGTATCCGGCCGGTTCGACAGGACAGTCGGGTGGCACGAATTCCATTGAAACTCGTTCGAAGCTCCAAATTTTGATGGGACTAGCCCGGAGCAGTGAGGGTCGGGTACTGATACTGGTGCACCGACAGTGTATTGTTTCGGCATGATAAGCGGCTTAACGGAGCTTCGCTCCCTCCTATCCCCGAGGCGTACTACGGGATGGCAGTCCTGCCGTCGATTTCTCGCTGCTGCTGCTGCTGCTGCTACTCCCGTCCGCGACCCCCGCAGCCCCCCCGGTCTGCTCAATCAAGAATCAGCCACTGCCGCGCCCGGTAGTACGTCGGAGCTTTAACTTTTCTTCTCTTTGCGTCGCGAGATTCGATCCGCGGATTGTTCTAATATGATTCCTCGACAAATCATTGGCACTTATTGTTAGGCTAAATAATCACAGGAATTATGCGACATTTTTTAAATAAATGTCACAAACTGTGCGCGATCTCACTTTATAATAGGATGTAAAAATAATCATGTTGTAAAACATTTTGACGAGCTTAATTTCGTTGGAATCGATCAGAATTCTTTGTCGATATTAAAGAATATCAATTTGTTAGAGATATAATGCAAATCATCGGCGCACGGTTTTAGCACGCCGCGGGATTAATTGCATTCGCACAATTGGGTCACCTACATTGTTTCGGCAGGGTGCAAACGGTACTCAACGAATATCGATCGGTTTATTTCGAGTGATGTGCTCGCGAGTTTTTTCAACCCTTTCGCTCGGGGTTCGCCGGTCGGCTCACAGGTTGCGCCTCCATCCAGTCCGGCGGAGGGTCGGTCAGTCGAGCACCTTTCGAACTTTCAAAGCCCGCCCGGCCGCCGGGTATCGCTGACTAGGTAAGGGTGTTCAAGAGGTGGTTTATTAGATATCTACGCCAGAGGAGGGTTGATAAGGAGAAAGGGAAGAGCACTATCTCGAGGGTGTGAGACGAGTGGCTGGCCGTGCAGGGTTGTTAAGGTGCCCATTGAGGTGTAACTAGGGGGATGTTATTAAATTTCGTTCGGGCCTACCTCGACAGCAGGGACGAATTTTATGGGCTCCCTAAGGGCTTCGTGAGAACGTCGAGGTCCGACGGACAGCCGCGTGTGCCCTTTCTTCCATTCGATCTCCGATATCGTTCCTAATTTGTCTCTTTCGTCAATCTCGTACATCAAAATGACATGTTCTTCGGTGTAATTAATTTTATATTGTACACATATTTTTATCTTGTTTAAAAGTGGCATTCACAATTTTGTCAAAAGCATTTTCTTCAATAATCCATATTTTCCTCATTTTTGCTAAAAATCACTTACAATAGATAGATGTGTTACAATAGATACGCGAACTATAAAAATAATGTCCTAGATCAAAAATCTTGTAATATTCCAAATAATTGAAAGATGCATTAATTTTTGCTTCACTATTACAATAATTTTTAAGAGCTTCATGAGCGATACATTCAGAAGCGATCGCTAGCAAGTTCAGGGAAAATTAATGTATCCGGTGACAGATACCACACGGCAGACCGTCGCTGAGATTGTCCGCGAACGAAAACACCCCGATCGCGCGCGTCCCGGGAGGCCCGAGCCCGTCGTCTTTGTCAGTCTGGCTAAGGGGATGAAAAATCGCGAGGTGCCAAGATTCGAGTTAACAAGAACAGCTCGTGCAGCCCCCAATCTGCCCTCCCTCTTTCCGCTCTCCCGTGTCAATTAACCGCCTACGAGGGAGAGGCAGGGGTGGCAGAGGGTTTGAGGAGGGAGAGAGAGAGAGAGAGAGAGAACCGGAAAAATCGCGACCCCTGTTTCAATAAGGTGGCCTTTACCTCATTTGGGGGAGATTGTTAAGAATGCTGAGTTTAAAACTGTCGCTTCGTTTCTGGATCGTTTTGCAGTAAATTCGCGACTTTCTTTAAAGCGGATCTCCCTTCTTACCGAACCTATAATTTGTGACCAACGATTGCGATAAGTGTAGAATTCTTATTCTACATTCTACATGTTGTTGAGACTCATTTTATGCAAATAAATAAATCACTGCTACGCTAATACCACTATATTATAACTGTACTATATTATAACTCTAAATGTGAAAGTATATCGTAAATCTTATTGACTGCTTGATTGGCCTAATCGCGACAAGTCCTATCGTGGTCTGCTACGATCGTTAGATTATATTCCTCTTCCGAACTTGGGCTACGGTCGTACCTGATTTACGATGCGACGCGTTTAAAGGGCCTCTTTCACGTATACGGAAAACCGTACGCGGCCGGCAACCCTTCGGGCGTACGTTTCCTTAAAGGGAACCTTTTTAAGGGTTGTTCCTGTCCACCCCCGTGTCGAATCACTGCGGAGCCTTTAAATTCGCGTCACATTTCACCCCCCTCGTCTTGCAAGGGCGTCTCGGGGTGTTCCGTCTTTTAATCAGGTCCGGCGACCGGGACCTTTCTCTGGAAGCGACGGTAACTAATGACGCTCCCTCTAGCCTCAGTCTCATCTCTCGTCTCCGTTCCTATCGTTGAAAATCCAGCGAGCCTAAGAGATAGAAATCTGATATCTCGCGATATCCTCGAGATCGATTTATCTCTTCAACGTACTACATTTATGTAACGTCAGAGAATCAGACTGATATGTGCAGTTATTGAACTTAATATATTTATTATTCTAACCGATGCTATTAATAATGATTATAACGTATATTTAATGAATTTTCAATTATTAAATGACAAAAGTATGCTGATTAATTTATGTTAAAATAAACAATTAATGTTAAATTTTGTTTTATTCTATATGATCAATTTTAAAATAGTTTAATAAGATTATGTAAAATTTTTTTAATGCACCCGTTGAATCAATTATTACACAATTAATGATGACAGTACAACAAATTTTAAAATTAAAATTATTTATATAATCACGGAACATAATAAGAATGGAAATTTATGCACCGCTGAGCATTGCCAATTTCTTAAAAGATCCGTCATTTTTGCACTCTCTTTCTCGACTTCAAAGAGAAAATATCGCGACAGTGGGATAAAGATAGAGCAGAGAAGGAAGAGAGATAGCAATTTTCTCGTCCTTTCTCGAAATATCTCCTCGTAGAGCTTAGATCGGTGCCAGGGACCTTTCCAGGGTGGCATTTTAGGGGTTGCTGCGACGCGATAATGAGAACGGGCGCAAAGGGTGGGTGTGCAAAGACATCCAACCAGCAGTAGCTAGAGGATAGAACGCGGGGTGGAAAGAGGTACGACGAACGAGTCGGAGAGAGCAACAGAGAGAGAGAGGAAGTAAAGAGGCTGTGGAAAGGAGGGGGGAGATCGAGCTCCGCAAGGGTTAACGCCTTAGCAGCAAGAAGGGCGTTTTTAACGCCTGTTTTGCATAGATTTGAATAGATAAGACAGACAGGAAAATACGCGAATTAATTTATTATGTATCTCAGAGTGGTGAGATCAAGAAGGTTTAAGGTGAAGAACTTGAAGGACTGTCCCCTCCCCCCTTTCGTTCACAAGCTGCGTGACAGGCTTCGAGTCAACGTCTTTAAAGCGTTTCTTAAGTTTCATCGCTGCAAAACTTCGCGCAATACACGCGTAAAACTTATGACGTCTTTCAAAGACTCGAAAGACTTTATAAGAAACGCGATTTATTTTTAGGCTCGAACAGACCTGTGCTACGGTATTGTGGTAATAATTGCGAGTGAAAAGTGTAGCCGAAATTCGAAATCACGTCGCGCCAACGAATTCTGTAATCGACGTGACCAAATTTAATTCACCCCGCGGGTGGCTCGGCGGCGAAACGTATATAAAGCTACGCTTAAAAGCTCATATTACACGTGACGTCACATTACCGCATCTCGGGAACGGCGCGACCAAAGTACGTAGCACATTTTGAGCACGCTGCTCGATAATACATCATCCCTTAAAGCCCCCGATGGAAGGCACACGCAAAGGCAACTAACCCTAGGGCCGTAACGTTTAAGCTTAACATTTCTCACCCCTTAAAGGGTAGCAAGCGGCTCCTTGAACCCTTTCAGCCTCGCGTCTCTCCCGCACTCTGTCTCTCTCGCTCTCACTCTTTCCCAGATCTCGCCGGGACCCACCCCTCATTAGTCTTCATTTGTTTTCGGAATTATCGCCCGCCAGCCGAACCCAAGCCGGCACGCGAGTTCCGTCGAAAGAGGGTGCACGGCATTTTCGAGGTTTATTAAATTGAAAATATGTTACACCCGCTCTAAAAAGGATGCGGGCCGTGTCGAACGTTTTTGCCACATGTAAAATTGACAAAGCTATTTCAGGTAAAGATAAATTACTATTCTTTAAATTTTCTTAAAATTTTTTCCGATAAATTGAAAATCATATCTTAATAATTACAGAAAAACCATAAAAATTATTATTACAATTATTAATCATCATGTTTTCTTATGTAATTTTGTCACACAAATGTTCCATCATAAATAACATTCAACTTTAATCATTTAAAATCAAACTTTATCAATAGGTGAAAGATTATCTTTAAGACGACGACCTAAACTTGATTAACAAAAGGGAAACTGACGTATTGTCAGTTATCGAACAATGTTCGCACGATGCATCCGTCATCTAAGAATCCGGGTGTCTGAAGGGCTTACCGAAGCGGTTCTTATTCATGCTCCTGCCAACAGAAGCCGTCCGTTGGCCTCCGTAAGCTCGGTGGCAGCGGTGCTTTCGCGCGTCTCTTATCGTTTTCTTAATCCCCCTCATAAAGTAGGAGGGCTACGAGCTCTCACACGGCTAGTCCGTTCAGTGTGCCACGCCGGTGTGGTAGAACGCGAGATAGCGGTGTCCTCTCTGGCGAGCGCGCGCGGCTTAAAGAGAGCTTAAAAATCACCCCTTCGACCCCTACCGAGCTTTTTCACGTCCCACCACCCGCCGCGGCGGGACTGGTGGGAGCGCACGAGCAACCAATGGGGCGATCTGCGTGTCTTGATGGTCACGCCCTCGTGCCAGTGACTGGACAATTCTCCCCGCTCCGTCGAAGGCAAATTTCCCCTGTTTTGCCACCCCGCCGGGGCTCCTACCCCCCCGTTGCGCACGGTGGCTTCGCGGCAGCCTTCACGGAATTTTTAAACTGCCCCGCACAGATGACGGCATAATCTGTTATTGATCAAGGTCTTTCGAAAAACCGATACCACGTTGATGACCACGGTGCTTACTTCTTGCATTCTTCTTACACCGCGACGTGCCGAAGATCAATATTATGTCACTTATTCATTATGTAAATTGAAAGAAATAGAATTTTCTTTTCCTTACGAGCTAACAGCTATAGATCATCTTTATGAAAGAAGCACGGTTTGTTTAAAAAAAAAATGATAAAAAATCAATTCGTTGTTTTACAAATAAATGTGTTATAAATAAATGTGCAGCAAGAGCAGCGATGCGACTTATGTCAGTTGGTTTGTCCGACCGATCACCCATGAACGAACTTTTTGATGTCATAAATTTAATTGCATTCAAACACATGCTTGCGCGGCCGCGCGATATTGGCTATTATCGAAAAAAAGGTGATCGATCGTCTCTGCATTCTCTGTTGGATAAATTTGACTGTCCATCCACGTCAAAACCGCCTCTACGTCAAAGGGATGCGTTTCTACGACTCGTACTGTCAGTCGATCACCGTTTACCTGCCAAAAATTATACAACGCCACCGTGATGCCCAGAAATATGTTACGTCTTGTCACAAAACAAATCGTATCAGTCACTTTCAGATACTGTCGTCTACATTGCGTTATTCTGCAGTTCTGAAAAATCATATTCTATTTCATAATGTCAATTTTTCATATAAATGGCTGTATCTAAATATCTTTAGATTGTTTTAACGTGTAGATGTATTATATATAAATTACACTTAAAAAGTAAACGTGTGTATTTCGATTGCAAAATATTTTCAGACGACATAGAGGTCACCGTGGCGTGCGATGACAGCGGAGACGCTGAACAAACAGAATTCTCGGAAACGTGTAATCTGCATTTCTTTGATTGCACAGGATTGCAACACCTGGGTCTGGAGCAAGGAGCGGGCCAGGGATGGGGCGGGCTACCCCGAGGATCTCTACCACCGCACTGTCTTCCACCGCCCCCCGGTCATCACCCGCATACACATCCACAGCCGGTTGGTGCGTCGGCCTTCAACCCCTTCCATCACGCCATCGAACAGAGATCCCCGCGGCTACCTGGACCTAACGCCGGTAAAGACACGAGAGTCTCGTTACGAGAAATAAGAATTCTATAGAGAAAATTTAAGTCGTGCGAGAGAATATTTTACTTAAATAACATGCGGCGTTTTCTCAAGCGAGATTAAACGATTAATGGGCGCGTAATTGATATGTCTGTAAGAATCTTCGAGGAACGACCTGGGTCCTATCAGCGTGTCGGTGAGGGAAGTAACGCCGACAACGTCACCCGGGAACCCCGGTCCGGGCTTGTTGACGACGGCTTCAGTGACGGCACCGACGCCACCCGCCGAGTCGACTACCACCACTACGACGCCCAGCCCGTCCGGACATCACTCACACTTTCAAGGTAAAAGAGATACACATAACTCGGGATCTGCCCAACAATCCACGACTCCCCGTGCCTGGCCCGTAGGTAGAGCTGACGTCTTGTTTGTAACACAGGTCTTCATCTGCTGGGCGCCACGGGATCCATCTTCGGATCGATATTCGCGCCATTGTTACCGCAGTCCTCCTGGCTTTACAACCCCCTATATCACACGCAGCAGTACATCCTGGAGCCGGAATGGCACGCTTTGGCTTTGAGAATGGCACAGCAGCGATTACAGAGGCCGGATCAGGCCCGGTTGGAGGAACTCAGGAAACTTCGAAACAGCAGCGACAGTCCCGAGAGCAGCACGAAAGACGAGGAACGGAGAGGGGACGATCAAGGTGTTTTACGTCGATCCGGGCTGGATAGTCCTGACGACAGCATCGAGGTGGACGATAAGAACGATCAGGATCTGAACAGAGACCGCGTTAGAAGCGACGAGTCTATACCCGAGCAAGATTCCCCGAGAATCTCGCCAATCAGGAGCGACCTGGAGGACGCCGCATCGACGGACGCCACCTTCCAAGAAGCGTCGATTCATCTACGGCAGAGCATAGAGAACCTGAACGACTCGGATCTCCCAATCGATCAGGATCAGATCGCCCGTCGCGGTGACCTCACTGTAAAAATCCGTCTAGAGGGTACGGTCGATCTTAGCACGAAGAAGGGTCAGGATAAGGAGAACGTCGGTCAGGATCTGACGACGCGAAGGAAGGAGGACGGGATAGACGTCGAGAGAGAAGCCATCAGATCGCGAAGAGAGAGAAGTCCTAAGCCTAGACAGGTGTGGAGACCTTATTAAGAATTGTGAAGCCCAGTACGTTCGCGTTCTGCGGGAATTCTTCCGCGACGATTTTAACGAATTCGACGATCGAGGCGAGAAATGGAATTTCTGATCGATTGAAAAGAGGATTACGCAGATTGAATTAAGTATGATCTAGGCAAATTTTATCGTGTGTTTTTTTCCGAAGAAAACGTTCGTTTCGCTGAGAAATCGGCGAATATATTGATTAATCGCGTCTCGATAATGCGAGACTGAACCCCTAAAAGCGGAGCTTGCACGATGTTGTAGAGTAGTTTAGCAAAGCTAAGCGATATATCATCATCGTCAAGTTGTCGAGGGATAAACGGAAACACGCCCGTTTGTTTGGATGCTCGAACGTCTCCGCGCAAATGTAAATGCGGTAATCGTCTGCTTGGAAAATTAATTATCAAAAAACTTTCGGACGAACTTTTTTCTCAAAATTACTTATCTACTCCCGTATGCCCGTATGCGGTATCGTCTAAGAAACTGTCATGGACTCGAGGACTAACCAGGGTTTACGTTCGCATATAGTATGTACATATATATACAATGACGTCCGATTATTATATATATATATAAGTTAATGTTTCAAGTAAACGTTAAGCACACACTACCCTCTCGTCATTCCGATTAAGAATAATTAAACTTTCTGAATGTCTCATCGACTACACGAATATGCTGTTGAAGCGACGCGCATACGTGTGTATCTTAATCCTGAAAAACAAATTTCTTAAGCCGAGAACGTATGCTTTTCCGTGATGGTTTATTTCACTTCCTCGAAATATTGTATCGTCGATTTTAGGAAAGAAAAATACTCGTGTGGCAGATGACATTTGGGGGGTTTTCCTGGTACAAGCGAAATTACGAGCAGTCTACGTTGTAAATATCACCATATTAAAAGATTTCAAATCCTGGCCGAGTCACAATCCTTTATCAAACCATTGCCTCTTTTTTATGAAACGACGTCATCTTTTTTTTAGGCGCAGAGATAATCGGTATCCATAGAAGAATGTCATTATATAATTATAGTTTACATAATCCAGAAGGTCGTTTCGACGACGCTGTATGTATGCGTGACTACTGGCCTTAATCAAAATCATTGTTTAAGTACGTCATCAAATAAAGTAATATCATCCGTTCCATGATATCGATTTACTCTCTTACACGATCAGAGTAGATTTCACTGGGATTTCATGCAGTTCAAGTTGGTAAGTGCAGCAATATTAATTAATGAAATATCATAGAATTATTATCTGCCAAAATGTTATGTTTTCATAAAAACAGTCATTAATTAAAAAAGAAAACTATCTCATATTCTCTTTGCGCGATAATTAAAGCATTACACGTCAATTATAATTGATATTGATATTACTGTTTGAATATCTGACTTCCATTATATTTCTTAAAAATTGCATTGCACTTGAAATATTCTTACATCGCTTCGCGATAAAGTGAACAAATTGCAATCGTGTACCGAACGATCCGCGCGTGCAACCTAATCCGGCCGGACGAGATGCAGCAGATTCAATAATTCGCCGCGATTGCAATCGAGCGGGATGCACCGCACGCAAAAACGGGCAGGCTCGATATCCGCACGGTGAAAAGGTCCGCGTGATTGATGGAAAACAGACAAAGCACCCGTCGGCCCCGCGCGGCTGACCAGCGTCCCTAAAATCGAGATAAAAAGACCGCAGAACAATTTTCTACATTATTTTCCGATGCGCGCCGAATCAAATGAGCAATAATGCCGACACGTCGCCTCTACGAATCTTTCTCTCCCTGCCCTCCTCTTCTCTCTCTCTCTCTCTCTCTCTCTCTCTCTTTCTCTTTCTCTCTCTCCCGAAGTTATCGGGACGCAGAATAATCGATTCTCTCGTGCCTGTACGAATATAGATAAACGTGGAAAATCGCGCAGGCAGGCGAACTCCATTTCGCTTGTTCGGCTTACTCCGCGCTTTCCCAGAGACGACGTTTCTGCCAGGGGATCGACTTTGCAAATATGCGCGTTCATCCCTGCGCAAGAGCGCGATTAAATTAATGCCAAGCCAGAGGATAGGAGTCGTCTTGACGCGTGGCATGAGATAGGAGAGCGACGGTCTCGCACGAAAGTCTCAGATTAGAGAGAGTATTATACAACAAGTCGTTCTTATAGATACTGCACAATTTGGGTTAGTTGGGAGTTTAGTTACACACAGGATCCTACTGCTCCGCTACTGTCTCGTCTCGTAATTCCGAGGTAGGATCGCAAATCGCTCGTTCACGTCCCGTCCCGTGATTCAGGGCGGTTCGGCTAATTGTCTCCCTGCAATCCGGTCTGCGGTCAGATTCGAAGCGTTTTCGTAGGCGTTAGTGGCTGCATGGTTACTGATAGCGGCTGCTCGCCGACCGCATCACGTAATGGCGGTGCGTACGTGTAATGCTCAGGTGCGACGACTTTGTATCGACTACAGCATCGCCGGGTCCTCTTGTCGCCAAGGGCGGCGATCGATCTGATCGGTCGGTCGGTCGGTCGGTTGGTTGGTC